TTATGGTTTTTGTTTAGTTTGGGGGGTGAATAAGTTAGTGCGCTAAATAGGTTAGGGGGTGATATGGAGGTAAGGTTAAGCAAAGTACATTGGGTATTTTCATAAGGTTTGGAAAATCTTTTTCTTTTATGTGCGTAGGTTAATAAACAAAAAGTTCAAACATCTATAATTTGAAGGTGGTTCACCAGTTAAAATTGTTCTGATAGGACATCGACATGTACCACTAACTAAGCTAACACCTGAAAAGCATGATGTGCATTCATTATAATCATCTCCAGTACAAGTTCTACAAGTAGGATGACATAAATAATAAGATAAATGAACATTTTTAATTAAAGCCAAGTTTAATTCATTAACGATCCTGAATTTTAAATAACTCATAGAAGTGAATTCTTAAAATGCGATTTGAATTGTCTTTACTTCATGTTAACTTGAATTACAGCCTCCTAAACTAAATTACAAAGTATTTTAAGTGGTAAATTAAAACTAGTAGTTCTAAGTTTTATACTCTATTTTCAAGTAGTCTCCATTCCATTAAGTAAGAAGATATATATCTAAATTTAAAGTGTGGTTCATGCCATTTGCTTTCAAATTGTTGAGTTATTCACTTATACTAGCCATCATTTAGGAAGATGATAAAATTAATGCAGTTCCTATAGGATTTGTACAATTTGAAAACAGAGCGCTAGTTAATGTCCCACTATATTTGAATGAATAGGGGCAAGTATTAGAAGCGCAATTAAGATAGTTTGGTTAGTGAAAACCATTATAGTAGACTTACCATCCCCCCATTACTGATGCAATTAGAATCAGAAATAATATACTCATATATATATTACTTTAAAGAAAATTTGATTTCTTTTACCATCTTTGTCGTCTTACATAAATATTAAGGTTGATTTTTCTACGTAGATTATATTCTATAATAAGTTTTGTAGACTTAAAATACAAAATTACGAATAAAAACTCAATCATAATTTGGAACTTTATAAATGTTTCAGGAGATTCTTCAATCTTTAAATATATCGTTTTATTTTTCTTCTTGAATTTTCGATATTTTAGATATCAGTCAATTTTTGATTACTTAAATAAAAAGAGAAAAATTATAGAATAGAAAACCATATCTAGTAAAACATATAATATGGCAAATAAATCATTTATCAACTAACTTCCATTTGATATAAAATTAAACTTTCAATATTAAGAAATTATTTAATATAATTTATTTTAATCAGATATTATTATAAAAATAATATTAAGTCATGCATGATTGATGAAATGGTAAATTTTCCTAATCGTTCCAAGCAATTGTGATAAACAAATTAAATGACTCATTACAATTAATTGAGTGAAGCTTCTGATTTTAAATTTTGGCGTGGATGGCGACTATGAATTTCAGATTTTAAGTCGGAATGTGAAGCCATAATAAATTAAATAATCATAAATATTAATTAATATTTATTTAAGATAATTATGTAAAATTTACTTAATCTAAACTATGTTGGCTCTAATAATAAGAGAGAAAAAGTCAAAAGATGTATTATGACTAAAATAAAAAGAAGTAGTTCTAATGACCTCAAATTAATTCTTTATCCTCTGACTTCAAAAACCGCAAATATTTTATCTTTTAGATAGAAATTTAATTCCAGAAGAAGAAGCACTTCTATTTCATATTTTACACATGATTAAGAATTAAATAGATAATAAAAGTGTATTCAAATTTAGATCGATAATAAAGAACAATAATAACCTAATGAGGGCGATGGTAATTCTAAGCCATCATCAAATAATATAATTACAAACAAATAATGGGATGATCTAAATAATATTTACGAAAGGAGAAAAAACGATGTAAATTTTAGACAATTTATATAACATTTTTAGTAGGATGCTCTCTAATTGGAAGCATTATATTATTAGCTTTCTTTTTTAGAGTTCCACCTATCTGCCCCTTTATAACTTCCACCTATTTTATGTTACTTTTTATATACTTTAATTATGTATAGAGATGATAAAAGAAAACTTTTTAATCAATTTTCAGACACTTATTTTGGGGATGATTATTATAAAAAATTAAGAAAATTTCAAGGTAGATATTTTAAATAAAAACTTTAAAATTAATGCATTTCACAAATTTCTTTTTATAATGAACCAGAAGAAGAATCTATTTTACATGAACTCATGTTTTTCTATTATCTTGATAATTTGATTCCCAACCTTGATCTTGATTATAGTATGCTTTTGGATGATTTTTTATCATACTTTTCATTATCAAACATTAAAAAAAATTTCATAGAACTCTCTATGAGAGATGATAATATTTTAAGAAAAAACAATATAGCATTTGGAAATATTAGATTTGTCTTCAAAAAAAAGGATGGATTGTTCATTGATTTTAAGTAACCAATAGGAAGATTTGAAAATATATAATTTCTTGATTACGTTTAGTTTCAAGCTGATTTTACTCAATAAGTATCCTCAGCCGAGCCTATTAAATATTTTAATTCATATCGTTCGGAGCCACATAGCGAAAGGACTATGATTTTGTTTCTTTTGGCTGATATATACCTAAATTAATCCATATTTCAGCATTTAAAATTAGATTTGATAGATTCTCAACAGATAAATAATATCATAAATCTATCCTAAATCTACTTGGAAATAACTAGTGAGAAAAGAGTTTGTAAAAATTGTTTAGGCATGTTTTAATAGATTCCAATTGAATTTATTTGCTAGAAATTTCAAGAAACATTTGGATTGGGTGTGGATACAAGATTTTAATTCATAATCACCTAATAGTATTTATTGGATCCAAAAATCTCTACAGAAAAAGAAAGATACCAAAGAATTTGGGTAAGAACAACTTAAAAAAAATTCAATTCATAATATAAATTCTTAAAAGATTAAAAAAAAAATTCGGAAGACTTTTAAAAGGAAAATTAATAAGAAATTCCACTTCAGCTCATTATAGAATAAAATGATTAAAATGATGAAAATGATTGTGAACTCGTGCAAAAACAAGATTTACCTCAATAAGACTCCAAATAATCACATTAATAAGAAGATTTAATAAAACAAGAATATTTAATTTGCTACGAAGAGCAAGAACCCACTGGATTAATATCTGTGTTGTTTTTAAAAGAAAGATATTGTAAAAGTTAAGTTTGCAATTTTAAAACTAAAATTCCTGATATCAAACTCACAAATACATTTTTTATAAATAATGAATCATAATTTTCAGATACAATTTCCCAAAATAGTTTTAATTAAGATGAAAACTCGCAATCATCTAAATAAATTAAATATTAGAAATAATAAAATAGATTATTAGATCAGCTGCAAAAAAAATAATATACACTTATACATCATATGAATTTTAAGCACAATAATCCAGAAGAATAGAATCTTCAAAAAACAAAGAAACCTTATACGATATATGAAGATTTATTGTTAGAAATTCAATCTGAGTTTTACTCTTATTTAATAAGGAAGTTTACATCTGATTTTTAAATGTTTGATACTGAGCTTTTTGAATTAGATAAAATTTTGCAATTATATTGGGAAATAGGACTTCTTAAAGGACAATAAAATGGCTTAATGAATATTTTAAAGGAAAAATTAATGCTGAATAGTATTCTTGATTGTGGATAATTTAATTTGAAATTATTTATCTAGGATTATTAATTTATAAGTGAATGTAGAACTACATAAATTACAAATGAAATGAAAAGTAATTAATAGAGCAGTAAAACTTCAGCTAACTTTTATATATTAAAGTTTTATGGATTGAATGAGTCTGGAGAATTTAAAAGAATTGCTTTATCAATTTAGGGCTAAAGTTGTTACTAATTAATTCAACAATTTGATGAATAACTTTAAGAAGAAATAAAAAAATTTAAACGGCTTATAATAATTATTTTATCGATTAACTAGATCAACAATTAATGCACCGAAACAATTTACAACCACATATTAAATTTATAACATCCCAAATTTGAACTCAAACATTATTTTTTTGAACAAAATACAAGGGATCAAACCTAAAAGGAGAGGCACAAATCAACTTCGATATCAGAATAATAATTGATTCTTTTAGAAAAAGATTTCTTTTTACATCGATATGCGCTTCAGGATTAAAATTGTTTTTAACCTTTTAAGGAGTTGAGTGAGAAATTTGATCAAGAGTTGATGAGCTTTGAATGCTAAGTAAATTTAAAAATAATTATTAATAGGTCCATACTTGGAATGTCAATTCATGAATCCACCCTTATGATATTATAATAAAACATTTTAAAACAGCATCTTAAGAGTTTCTAATTAGTGCAAGCGATTGTACCGATTTGTATACTACTATTCACATGATTACGTTCTCCTGCCTTTTAAAAGTTGGCTGCAATTGAGTAAATGAAAGAAGAATAGGACTACTTTTTAAAAGGTGGTCTGAAGTGATAGGAGGACGAGAGTTGTTT